CACTGCACACTGTGGCTAGAGGGACAGGGTTTGATTCATGTGCTCATAAAAACACTGCCTTTCTTCCTATGATTGACTTTTGATGACACGTTACAGCACCGCCCTCTATATCCAGGGCATTGCCTAAAGTTAGATCAGAGGCAGCTTAACACAGACGCTCTCAACCCAATTGTAAAAATTCTATAGCTCCAGCAAGCCTCAAATAATGGAAATGACATTTTCCAACCTATGTCCTACAGTAGACCCATCTCCCGTCCTCTGTCCTGAACCATTAGGGTTTCCAGCAGCTGATGCTGAGGAGGAGAACCGAGTCTATTAGCAAAAGACGGCTCGCCAGTTGTTACTCTAAATCAGGTACTACAACTAGCTGCTAATTGAGAGTGAGGATTAGGGCTGCTGCCTACAGATCGTGTGGTGAGTGATGACAGCCTCAAACCAAGCTGGATCAATGCAAGTCTATGAGACACTTCTTTAAACTCTAAAGCCGCTTGTGATCGTTTTTCTAGTTTTAAATCTCTAAAGCTGTCAAGAAGCTTCATAACTGGATGGTTAACGGCCATCCAGACGTTTCACTTTATCCTCTTGTTTTGTTTCAGATACCTGCAGGTAATTCTCACAAAGGATTTACTCCACGGAAGAGAGGAGGTTTTACCACTAGGCCTTAGGCAGTGGCTTTGGGCTTCAAAACACTCAGAGCCTCATAAAATATCAAATAAACTCACAATGTGGATTTAATCATTTTATCTGAGCAGTAGAAAATCTGCTGAATGTGATTAAACATGAGATTTAATAAGTTATAATAATAAATACAAGTTGCTAACATTTAAACTCTTCCCATTAGAACATCAGACTCTTCAAGTATGGAAACAAATATGGAATAAGTACCAAAGGAAACACACAAACAATGAGGAGCAGCTGCAAGAAGATGCTGCTTTCAATGCTAATGCTAACAGGTGCTAAGACTAAAATGGTACCTGTAGGGTGAAGTATGGCAAGCTAGTGCATCATATTACAGAAAAGATCCTATAGCCATAGATCAGCTCTTCCTGATTCAATCGAAAACTATCACGAAAGTTTAATTTCAGACATCTAAATGAAAACTTTTACAAGAAAACAGACTTTTAATATAAACATAAAAAACAACTGTAACTTACCAATGTTATTAGGAATACCCTGTCCTGATAATATGAGCTTAAAAGCCATTTGAGACAGTGTAATTACAAAAATCGATCTACAATTGTGACTGTGAAGAACTTGGTGCCATTTCAACAACAAACTGGTTAAATTAAATGAGCAACTCCTTACAGCTATTTTAGAGATATTAAATAAAGTTTCCACTTCATGTTTCTAACATGTTCATTTTAGCTATGAACACGTGAACATGGACCTGAAAGCACCAGCATATCTGTCCCGGAAAAATAACGTAAATCTAAAATGTTGATTATATCTAGGGATGAGCGAGTACAAGACTATCTATATCTGGATCTGTTCAATCATCTAAATTATCTGTATCTGTACTCGGAGTGGGCGTTGCCTAACCTGGAAGTGGGCGCAGTTTAACCAGAAGTGGGTGTGGTTTACATCAATACATTATTTTAAATCTGAAATTGATAAGGATTGATCAGAAGTTGCTATGTGTATTGTTTATTTGAAAACTATTTACAGAGCAGCCTCAGAATTGAGATTAAAAAACAAGTTTTTCAATAAAATCTGAACATTAATATATAAGTGCATGAATTAATACATCTGAACTCATGCAGTAGGAACTAGGAGATATGCTAAAACCAGACACAACATTTTTTTGATTATTTAAATGATAAATAATTAGATTCAGTCTCAGCTGAAGTACCCTCTGTATCACTCATTGAGAGAGAGAGAGAGAGAGAGAGAGAGAGAGAGAGAGAGAGAGAGAGAGAGAGAGAGAGAGAGAGAGCGAGAGAGAGAGAGAGAGAGAGAGCGAGAGAGAGAGAGCGAGAGAGAGAGAGAGCGAGCGAGAGAGAGAGAGAGAGAGAGAGAGAGAGAGAGAGAGAGAGAGAGAGAGAGAAACCCGACCGGAGCGGAGGCAGTGACCGACGCATACACGAGCCGTTTTCAGCTCTGTCTTGTCAAATGCACCACGTACATTATGAAAAAAGTAACTTTATGTATTCAACCGAAAAAGAGGCGAGCTGAAGAAAACCTAGGGAGTTGTGAAGAAACGTGAGCAAGAGTGAAGCAAGCACAGAGAGACCCGTTACTGTCTGTGTGTGTGTGTGTGTGTGCGTGGATGGGCCGGACGGACTGAGCTCCCGGCTGCAGAGTTTTGTGTGTAGGGAGGGGCGGGCGCTCTATGTGACAGGCCAATCACAGAGCGCCAAGACAGTCAGTTACCCAATGAGGATTTTCCTTCAGCACGATTACACATATTTACGAGTTTTACTCGTTTCATGCTCGTATTCGTTTAAAATGCTTTATCCGTACCGAACACTCATCTGAAACGAGTATCCGGCTCATCCCTAATTATATCATTAAAAAACTTTAGGATTTCTGAAATGGTTTTGGTTAGGGCTGCACGATATTAGGAGAACCTGCGATATTCGATAACAATGACTAATATTGCAATGACAATATTACTTGCAATAAATAAAAATGTAACTAAGGAACAAAAATAATCAAAAACAAAGAAATAAATAAATCATTAAAATGGAAAGGCAAAAGATGTGAGGAAAGGTAAAAAGAAAATGACCAAGAAAAGGCAATCAGTGGATCCCAGGAAAAGCAGAATCAGCAGAAAGAGCAGAACTAAGCTAACTCAGGTGTTTGCTAACCATCAAAATTAAGTGCCATCCGCCTCGGGCACGGGCATTTAACCTATGAGAACCCACCCATTTGGCCAAATGGGTGATGAGCTCTATTTGATTTGGTGACATCAGTCTTAACACTCTTTTGCATTTGTCTCTAGTAGGCTAGAATGCCTTGTCAGTCATACTCTTGGGGGAAAAAAACCTGTGATGCACCTGTTTCAGCACAGAGAATTCAGCTGTAGGAGAAAGTAGCTTCAGATGACTGGACCCTGGCTTTCCAATGGATGTGTAAGTCACGTGTAAGATAATAGACGCTTTCCTCCCACGAGAATCGCTTGCACCAGCACTTTTCATGGTGCTACATGGCAGCAAATGCATTTCATGCAGCCAGTCTTGCGAGGTCACAAAATCACGCACAAGATCACGTGTGATTTCAGCAGATTACATGGCAACAGGCAAGGGGAAAGATGGCAGGATATATCCAAAAAGGTTTTCTGAATAAACGTGTTTACCTCGGCTACAGAGAGAACAAAAATAAAAAATAGGACCAAAGTGTAAGTGGCGCATCTTGACGCTTCTGAAATGCATCCAAAAGGTCATCCGCTACAATGGTGTGCTATGTTTCACAGACATTACGTGTCACTTTTTGTCTGTTGGAAAAGCCCGTTCAGATGGTAACATTTCTAGGTGTGATAAAATATCAGACTTAAGGAACCCTGAAGGTAAGTGAAGGGCATGTCGCCTCTGACTAAATCTTCATCATCCCATTTTGACTGACCTCGTCTTTGTTGGACATGATAAGAAACGCCATGCAGCATGGCTCTCCCACAGACAAACACAAAAGAAGATGTTAAACTGAAACCAATTTGCTGTGAGGAGATCTCAGAGGCCCCTACGCAGCATCCCTGGATATGAGTTCCCTCACTGCTAAGTAAAATAAGGATTAGTTTTTATGATTAGATCTACCCGTACAGTGAGCAGCGCACAGGAAACTGGTGGCATTACGGCAGGACAGAGGCAGGCTGTTTGGCTGCCTTGAAGACTTGGGGATGAGAGACGAAAGAAGAAACATGAAAGAACTAGAAGGGTGTTTTAAGAAAATATCATTCATTTCCCAGCAGAAGTGTCCTAGAATTCAATCAACAAAAGATGAATGCAGTCCCCTTTCAAGGTGGGGATGCTGTAACAGAGAGGTGGAGGTGTGGGACCTTCCTCCAACTTCTTTTAGGAAGGAGGAGGAGGAGGCGGGAGTCCAAGTGTGCTACTTACTGTACAACCTGCTGCCTGCTCTTAGCCTGCCGGAGACCTCATGGATAATTCAGCAGGTTACTCGCTCAGAGACAGCCGGGATAAAGATAGCATGGACAATCCGGGTGAAATTCACTCTACCTAGCAACCAGAGGAGCCCTCTGAGAACACGGAGCCCAGGTCTGTGGTGCATATAAAGCTGTGCACATAATCATCTTTGGTGAGTTCTTGCTGTGTTGAGTTTCAAATTCCACCTTTCAGTTCCTTTTGAAACACAGAAAAGGTCCGTCAGCCTGATGATGTTTGCAGCCGCAAACGAAACGTTGCAGGTAAATCAACCTTTTCTGTGCTTTAAAAAGAACTGAAAGATGGAATGTGCACATAATCATTTTGCCTTTCAATGTTCAATGTTGGCTCCAAATGATCACATTATGTTTACATCATCTATTATGCAGTAGCTCCCAAAGTTTTATAGGATTTTTAAACTCATAGAAATAATAACCTCTAAATAAAAGTTCTAGGAGTGTACATAAAAACCCCATACATAAACTAGAAAACTAGTTGTATTACACGCACACACACACACACACGCGCGCGCGCGCACGCACACACACACACACACACACACACACACACACACACACACACACACACACACACACACACACACACACACACACACACACGCACGCACGCACACACACAACATCAGAACACAGGAGAACAAATCTGCTATAAAAATGATGAAGTGATGCCCTTTCAGGCGAAGCATCGACACAGACTAAAATTGTCCCACATCAGGCTGAAGCCGGTGACGCCATGTTGGAACAGATGAAAAATAGAAGTTACTGTTAATAAACTGAGGAGAGAGACGTCATCAGCATCAGCAGTATTAGCAGCACGTCAAACAGGAGGATGTGGTCATAACCACGTGTGATCTTATGGAGCAAACATAGCAGTCGCTCTTACCCTCTTCTGGCGGCTCTCGGCTGCTGCCAGCTGGGCCGACATGCGTTCCTGCATCTTTCTGCAGTGTGCCATGACAGCCTCCAGGACAGAGATGGGGCTGGACCCCAAGGGCCGCCGTTCTTTGTCTCCTCCAGAAACCCTGCACTCAAAGTCCCTCTGAAGAGCCAGGAAGGGGTCTGTCAGGGTGTAGTGTCCATAGCGTTCTTGAAGAAACACCTCCTTCCTTTGTGCCTGAAAACACAAAAACGTGTTGTGTCTGTGAACAGGAATCTGACTCTATTCTGAACCCGTGCATCTTCGTGATTTCAAAAACAACAAAATAACCGGAATTAGAGCTTTGAACAGACTCCTCTTCTAAAATGGTTCTAATAAAATGCTCCACCTTTCAGAACCAAGGACTTAACCATATAAAACAATGATCATTACTTTTAAAATTCATCCTAAGAAAGAGATTTGCAAACAGAAAAATAATTCAATAGGTTTTTCGGCATCTGTATTCTTTGTTTCACAAACAACACCACCATAAGTCCCACAATTTAAGGTTGTTCGGGAATTTACGCAACATAGCATGTAGCAGTTAGAAAACACTGAGGATAGTTGTCACCTGAAGGGAGAGAAAATTTTTAAACAAACAGCAAAGAAAGTTGATAGAGAAAAAGTGGTTTTTGCTGACATTACTGCTTAAAATCAAACACGTGTGCAAACTGGGGATTTAACAAGGTGGAAAAGGTAGGGCTCCGTCCAACACTACGATTCTGATGCGCCATTTTTAAAAACTGACCCTGCTCAGTTTGCTGCAGCAATTCTGCTAAGCCAGCCGACACTAAAAGATACATTAAGAAACTAAGAAATAGTCTACGGCACATATGTCACAGTCAAGGCCCGCGGGCCAGATGCGGCCCGCGGAGCATTTTTATGTGGCCCGCGAGATAAATGTCAAAAATATATTAAAACTGACCCACTGGCCGATTTTACCGCAAAGACTTCAACTCCCATGATGCTTTGCGGCGTCAGCGCGGAGCCGACGCGCCCCCTCCTTTGTGTTTTTTCAGCGGCTGCTGCCGGTGTCTGCAGCTCCGCTGTCTCGGACAAACTACACTCCTCTCACTCAGCGCTGAGTTCACTCAGCTATTTGCTGACGTTGAAGCCCAGAAACGGAGATTCTAGCCACTCAGTAACGTGTTCACGACTGAAAGAGAAAGTTTTCCGACTAACTTCCAGACAGAGCCGAAATAACTCCAGCAAGCAGCCACACGCTCAAACCAGCATGACTCTGTGGCTGCTGTCGTGTTTCCCCCCCGACACACAACAACGTGGTCAAGCTGCTCAGACATGTTCATCAGCACAAACCTATGTGAGCACCTGTTGTCATCTAATGTTGTCATTATTATGATGAAGATAAACAAAACAACAGGAGTCTCCTCCTCAGCTCAGATCAACCCCATGATGCAGGTATCTGGCTGGAACAGTTGAGCATCACAGTAAACCAGTGGAACAAACTGAGCTTTAAATATGTTGGTTTTATGCTCTTTTTCTGCTCCAAAACATGAAAGTTAACAGGTGAGAAGTTGCATTTTCATTTAAGATAAAATGATATTTTTATTTTGTTGTTGGCCCGTGAGAAAAGATTTAACCTACAGTAAACAGGAAGTGGAAAGGCTGCAGATAGATGAATAGAATAGAAAATCCCTTTATTGTTCCTCAGTGGGGAAAGCTAGATGTCACAGCAGCGATGACACGTATTACAGGAGAAAAAAAGGAGAATAAAAAATACGAAAAATTAAAAAACAAGAAAACATAAATCCTGACTAGATTTTAAAAATGCTGAATATACCACAAGTAATGAATACCACTGATGCCTTTTATTTAAAAGACGACGATACTCAGTTATATTTATCCATTAACCCTGATGAACCTAATCGGTTGGGTAGATTACAGGCTTGTCTTGAGGACATAAAAAATTGGATGACTCTTAACTTCTTGCTTTTAAATCAAGACAAGACGGAAGTTCTCATCTTTGGACCAGAAATCCAGAAAAGGAAATTGCTTAGCCAATCGCCTGACCTTAATGGCATTACATTAATCTCCGAGAACAAAGCAAGGAACCTTGGTGTTATCTTTGACCAGGACATGTCATTCAAATCCCAGGTTTCACAAGTTTGTCGGATTTCCTTTTTCCACCTTCGGAATATTGCTAAGATTAGAAGCATAATTTCCAGGAGTGATGCTGAAAAACTAGTTCATGCATTTATTACATAAAGACTGGATTACTGTAATTCATTACTCTCAGGAAGTCCACAGAATGTAGTTAAAAGTCTTCAGCTTGTCCAAAATGCTGCAGCTAGAGTTCTGATGAGAATTAAAAAGAGAGATCGTATCTCTCCTGTCTTAGCTTCTCTACATTGGCTACCTGTTAAATTCAGAATAGATTTTAAGATCCTTCTTCTCACATATAAAGCTCTTAATAATCAAGCTCCATCATACATCAGTGATCTGATTGTTCCATATGTTCCTAACCGAGCACTTCGCTCTCAGACTGCAGGTCTACTGGTGGTTCCAAGAATATCTAAACTTAGGATGGGAGGCAGATCTTTTAGTTATCAGGCTCCTCTCCTGTGGAACCAGCTCCCAGCTTTAGTCCGTGAGGCAGACACTTTGTCTACTTTTAAGAATAGGCTTAAAACATTTTTATTTGATAGGGCCTATTGTTAAAATTAGATGTTAGCCTAAATCTGGACAAGTGGGGGAGTAGAGGAAGGTGGAGTGTACAGTCGGTAAAGACGGCTCTCCCTTGCCCTGCCTCCCACATGCCTCCATCTAAATAGGATAGATTATCCAGAGTTAACTCTGTAGTTATGCTGCTATAGGCTTAGACTGCTGGAGGACACACTGACCACTTTTCACACTCTACTGCTTTATTCTACAGTCTGCTCTTTAACTGTACTATTTTGTGCAATTTCAGCTGTTAACTTTATTTTCTCTGTAAGTGTTTTTCTCCCCAGAAGAAGCTACAATGACGTTCTGCTGAGCTGTGGTGGCCTCATGGAGGGGGCCATCGACTAGCACACTGCTGCTAACCACTAATACATTCTCTCTCTCCTGATAACTTTTTGTTTTCATTGACTTTTGATGTGCTAATACTGGTTTATCCATTTAATTATAGATCCACTAGGATAAATACAATAAAGTTTATCTTTCACCAAATACAATATTTACTAACACATCACAATATAACTATAGACACATTACGTGTGTGTGTGTGTGTGTGCGTGCGTGCGTGCGTGCGTGCCTGCCTGCCTGCTCTGTCTTCTCGATCCCCAGTGAGTCGTGGAGGATGGCTGCTTATACTGAGCCAGGATTCTCTGGAGGTTTCTTCCTGTTAAAAGGGAGTTTTCCTCTCCACTGTCGCTGCATGCTTGCTTAGTATGAGGATTGCTGTATAGTCACTGACACTAGTCAGTGACTTCATGCAATTTGCTGGGCTCCTTATATAGGAAACATTATTTCTGATTGGCTTAATGAACTGTGGATTGGAATGTTTATTATGTGAAGTGCCTTGAGACGACTCTTGTCGTGATTTGGCGCTTTATAAATAAACTTGAATTGAATTGAATTAAAACTGACTTGCTCGTGTGTAATTTGGTTATTCCACATTCAGTGTTAATGCAGAAATATGTTTGTTTCCAAATTTAAAGGTTCAAAATTGCATATATGTTGATAAAGAAAATGTGCAAATTTGCCGTCACTTTTAAAAAATATATTAAGTTTGGCCCTCGACTCCGTCCCAGAGTTTCATTTCGGCCCCGTGTGAGTTTGAGTTTGACACCCCTGGGCTACGGACAGCAAAAATGCATGACGAGCGCCTATGGTTGCAAACGTCGGGTTCTGCAGTCTCCTTGTGTATGGTCTGCTCGTCTTTCTCTTCCTAGCTTTACAGATGCAGCAGCTCTACAGGTGTTTTGTAGAAAGGAGTTACCCTGTTGCTGACCGTCATGTGACGTGTCATCCCTGTTGCTGAAATCAGATGCACACTGAGTAAACAACCTGAAATATTAGCGACAAGGCTATGTTCATATTTATTCTTAATATTATATATGATAGGTCACTCTGAGTTTGTCATGCAGACTGAACATGAACATAGTCTCCTACACCCACCTCCTGCATTAGCTTCTGATAGAAAACGCCTGACTGATCAACAGCAAGCTGTCACTTGGACTTACTCATCTTGACTTGCAACGGGGAAGGCTGTTGGTTTAGCGTCCAGGAAATAGAAGCTAATCACTAGCATTAGCAACTCCACTACACAGCAGAACTCCTTCAGGCTTGTGTTTATGGAGATAAAACATCAACGTTGCAAAGCAAACGCAGTCGGTGGTACAGTCTGTTAGCCAATCAGAGTCAAGATGTTAAAATATCAGGAAATTAGATTCCAAATCCTGCCGTCTGAAGCTACTTTCTCCCAAAGACATCACATACATAAACGGCCCGTGGACTGATACTGCATATTGGAGCTGCCGTAGGGGCCGGTCGCCATCTTGGATGGGTCTTCATTCACCCCCACTGCATTTATTTTTACTGAGGAAGGTGCTTACACAACTAAAAAAAAAACACATTTTATTATGCTTTTTCACAAAATCAGACATGTGGTATGGCATGATAGTTAAAATATAAATATAATTCAATGAAATAATTTAAAATACAAAATCCCAACAGGTAGGCAAGAAAAGTCTACAGTAATCCCATATGATCTGTTTTCAATAGTGCGCCAGTTGTTGCAATCGTAGGCTGCAGGAAAACAGGCATAGTTGCTCACTCTGCTTTCTTCAATATTGCTTAGGTAGTGAGGGACCCATCCAATATGGCAGCGAGACTGTCACGCTCTCCAGCACCCAATAGTGCGTCTATGTATGTCTATGCTTTCTTCTCTGGCTGAATACCCCGTGCTGAAACAGGTTTTTTCCACCCTTACATACAAGGTATTGACTCCTGCTTGAGACCACTGCAAATGTACTAAAAATATGAATGAAGGACCTATTTAAGAGCAACAAATCAGCAACCTTCAACGCTGATGACTGAAGTTTCTATAAATGTTAACAATTCACCCAACATCGAAAAGTGTTGAAAAAGTGATAATAAACCTCGAAACTTTGTGACGGAGCATTTTCCTAACAGCAAAGCTGCAACCTATAATGTTCACCATCATCTATTGTTTGCAGGAGAATTTTAAAGAAAATGTTCACTATGACTACGACATGCTTAGGAAACCCACAGAGTCCAGTCTTATAAGGTGTATCAACTAGGATGGTCCTGATCCAATCCTGGAGATCAGGTGCTGATTTATTTATATTTTAGAAAATTAGACAGAAAATATTAGGCACAGTGGACTTAATCTGTGATTGATAAACCCGAAAATGAAAAGTAAGGTTGGTCTTGTGACAGTGCATTTACATGCACGTTTAAGTCGATCTACAGCTCGAATCAAGGTAAAACTGTGAGCCTGCATAGAAACATAGTCCCTCCAGCAGGTCCCGGGTCTTTCTTTAGGATCACCTTCTGGTTGGGCATGCCAGAAAATACTCAACATGGAGGCATCCTAAGCTTAGGGGTCAGAATCTATATCTGCAGTCACCTAAACATCCATCCATCCATTCTCTTCTGCTTATCCGGAGTGGGGTCGAGGGGGCAGCAGCCTAAGTCAAGAGGCCCACACTTCCCTATAGACTATAGGTGACTCTAGGTGAGGGTAGGAACATAGATCGAATGGTAAATCGAGAGCTTCACCTTCCGGTTTAGCTTTCCCTTCACCACAACAGACCAGTACAACCCCCGCATCACTCCAGATGCAGCACCAATTCGCCTCTCAATAATAACCAATAATCATTATATCATTATCAGGAAATCTCAAGTCTATTCTTTAACTTATTCACTGCCAATGACGACTAAAGTCGTCATTTGCATTTTTTTACTGTGTGGGCATTGGAACGAGCCCCCGCGCCAAGAGAACAAACATCTCAGCTCTAAAGCCGATCTTCATCTTCATCCACATACGTCACATGTCACATGATCAGGAAGCAGAAAATCCATGTGTTAGGAGATCTTTTTGGGCCACTGCTGTAAAAAAAAATGTGAGGTGCGAACCGAAAAAGCGTCTGCCGATCACAATTCAACAACGGATTATGAAAGAACGGATAACACTCGAAACACGCGGACTCTTCCTGATGTTAGAGGTGAGTCTCCGCTTTGTTTTGGTTGTTTTGGCGTCGACATCATCCTAGCGCGCAACGTTCTGTCACTCTTTGAAAAACAATAAAAACGGTGAGAAACGCTGGCAGCAAAGGGCTTTACCGATCAGGAAACATCTGGCAGCGAATGAGTTAAATGCCTTAGCTAATTCAACCGATTAATTTTCTAAAATAATTACTTTAAATAAAGATTATTTTCAGTTGTCTTTCTACAGCAACATTTCAAACATTTAGGTAGTTATAAGTGTTTTCACACAATGAGCCATTATTAATCTGATAATAATGTTTCTATTGTTTGTCTCAAAGTCATTTATCAACAGCAGAGGACTGGCAATGAAGAAAAACTAATAACCTTGTAGCTTCTCCATAAAACGTTGAGATGAGAGACAGAGAAAGAAGGACAAAGCACTTCACCAAAGAAGGAAATGCAGAGAGAGAGAACTGAAGCAGGAGATGGATGGGGAAAGCCAAGGCAGACCGTGGGCTGGTTTATGTGTGTGTGTGTGTGTGTGTGTGTGTGTGTGTGTGTGTGTGTGTGTGTGTGTGTGTGTGTGTGTGTGTGTGTGTGTGTGTGTGTGTGTGTGTGTGTGTGCAGAGAGGCAAAAAACCCACCCAAAACAACAATAAAAATAGTATTTTGATGTATTCCAACAAGATTGTAGATAAAAAACTGAAAGTGTTCCTTAAATCCCAAAATGACACCAGACATGAACTCTCTTCTGATCAGCTCACAAGCATTTGAAAGATAAAACAGCTAAACCCAAAAAGCAATAATCTGAGTCTGACAAATAAAAAAATAATTAAAACAATCAAATCTGGTTCCAACAGAGAACACTGATTATGCTGACATTTATGTCTTGAAGAATATTTGATTTAAAGTCTGATCACAAGGCAAATAAATGAGACAGAATAAAAAAAACCTTTAAAGTGTTAAATTAGGGGAATATTGAAGTCTCTCTTCTTTACTTGGATCAAGAGATGAAAGCTGCAGCTGAAGGGATCGTCTGAAGCTTCTCGGGGAAATCCTCCAGATAGTTCAGGAGTAAAAAAGTGTGCGTTCTTCGATCTTCCTGTAAACATTTACACTGGCTCAGGGGCCACCACAGCACTCCACCAGCTGCTGCTCTTCACTTTTAGGGCCATTTCTACTCAACACACTCAGGGTTTTCACTGTTTTTTAGGAAAAGTGGTATCATGTGAGGAACTTTCCAAATAAATCTGAGCTGCAGCTTCTCAAAGAAAACATTAGTGATGTGATGACATCCTTTCCTTGTTTAGCTCAATGTTTCTGTCTGAACCTCGGCCAGTACCTCTTCTATGCAAGGCTTGGGATCAAAGGTCGCATTATTACAGCATCAGAGTTTAGACAGGTGGAGAAAAGTCCCCAAACATCCCATCAGCTGTCGTGCTCCGTGTCCCCGGAGGTGGAGACCGGATCTCTAGAGGCAGCTACAATAAAGGCTTTCTGATGGATGTTCCACTTCTGTTCACTTTTTTAATTAACAGCTTAAAAACAAAATTCTAGCTTCAAAATAAAACAGTCTTTCAAGCTGTTACTTGGGCTGTTAATGGTGTTAGTTTGTGGCAAAACGTCTAACATAATTGGAGCACAGCGGTAATGTTCAATCATACACCCAAAAACACAGACTCAATGTGATCCCTGCAATGATTAAACAAATGCTTTATTTATATTTATATCGTCTCATTAATTCCATAAGGGGAGCCAGTCATATGGTGGCTACTCAATGCATTTAGGATTGTTGATGTGAACAAGACGATCCGCTGTAGTTCAAACCGAGCTTCAGAATGGAGAAGAAAGATGATTTAAATGACTTTGAACGTGGCGTGGTTGTTGGTGCCAGACGGGCTGGTCTGAGTCTTTCAGAAAATTCAGATTTTCTGGGATTGTCACACACAACCATCACTAGGGTTCACAGAGAACAGTTGGAAAAGGGAAAGTATCCAGTGCGCAGCAGTTCTGTGGGCGAAAATGCCTTGTTGATGTCAGAGGTCAGAGGACAATTGCCAGATTGGCTCGAGCAGATAGAAAGGCAACAGTAACTCAGATAACCACTCTTTACAACCATATGCATGGAGGAGCATCCCTGAACATGCAGCATGTCGAACCTTGAGGCAGATGGGCTACAGCAGCAGAAAACCACATCGGGTGCCGCTCCTGTCAGCTAAGAACAGGAAACTGAGGCTACAATTCACACAGGCTCACCACAAGTGGACAACAGACGATTGGAAAAATGTTGCCTGGTCTGATGAGTCTTGAATTCTGCTGCTTCAATTGGATGGTAGGGTCAGAATATGGTGTCAACGACATGAAAGCATGGATCCATCCTTGTTGGTGGTGTAACGGTGTGGGGGACATTTTCTTGGCACACTTTGGGCATGAACATGACACTGTACTCAAATGGCCTCCACAGTCACCAGATCTCAAACCAATAGAGCACCTTTGGGATGTGGTGGAAAAGGAGATTCGCATCATGGATGTGCAGCAACGGTGTGATGCTATCATGTCAATATGGAACAAAACCTCTGAGGAATGTTTCCAGGACCTTGTTGAATATATGCCATGAAGAATTAAGGCACTTCTGAAGGCAAGAGGGGGTCCACCCCAGTGCTAGTAAGGTGTACCCAATAAAATGGCCAGTGAGTGTGCATGTATTTTGTGGATTTGGAGAAGGCGTTTGACCGCATTCCTGGTGAGGTTTTCCGGGCACGTCCAACTGGAAGGAGACCTATAGGAAGACCCAGGACACACTGGAGGGACTATGTTTTTCAGCTGGCCAGGGAACGCCTTCCTCCAGAGGAGCTGGCCCGTCGCTGGAGGGAGGGAAGTCTGGGCCTCTTGCTTACGCTATTGTCCCCATGACTGGACCCCAGATAAGCAGAGGATAATGGATGGTTAGATGGGTGGATGGATTTCTGATATGCACGTAAACACACTGAGTGAGTCTCAGGCTTTGGAAATGTTGAACATCCCTGTACTTGTTTACCCTGGCCTGCCAGACTCCTCCTCTAACTCTGCACAGAGAGAGAGTCTGGTAACTCACAGGCAGAGAGGCACTTGAGGGGCGGGACTAGCCAGCTCAAAAATAACCAATCAGAAAAAAGGCGGAAATGCCGAATGTAGTTTTTTTTAGCTGTAGTCAAAAATAGCATCTGGCAACGGCGCAAACTTCTTTTTTTGTTTAGAAGAAATGCTTTTAGCGCTTCTTCTTGTTGTTTTAAAGACATTCAAGTCATTTAGAACAGAGGAAAGAGCTGCAGCAAACTCCGCTTCAGTCGCCATGTTTATGACAAGCTCGGCTTTATGGTGTGTGACGCACGCTACTCAATGCTGATTGGCTCTGTTAGAATCGTCAGGGGGCGGGGTTATTTGAATAGGAGAGTTCCCGGACCCTGTCTCTGTGCAAAATTAAACAGAGGAGGAGTCTGGCAGGCTTGTTATGATCCTAATCGAAAACACAGGATTAGAAAAAAATCACAATCTGAATTTTATATTGTGCAGCTTATGAAATCGTTGAATATGATGACAATGATTGGGCTGCATGGTGGCGCAGTGGTTAGCATTGTTGCCTCGCAGGACGAAGGTTGCAGGTTCAAAACTGGGCTGCGGCCTTTCTGCGTGGAGTTGCGTGTTCTCCCCATGCATGCGTGGGTTTCCTTCGGGTACTCCGGTTTCCCCCACAGATCACAACATGCCCTATAGGTTATAAATTGTAAGTTGCTTTGGATAAAAGTGTCTGCTAAATAAATAAACATAAACATTCTACAGCAGCTAATCACAACAAAGTTGACTTGCTGACACAAAAGAGCACTAGCTACGGCTAAATATATTTAGCTACATTTATTTCATTTAGATATATTCCATTGCACCTGATTCAAATCAGCCAGTTAATTCCCTGTCTATTAGTTGTTTTAGTGACGTTTATATTTCCTGATGTTTTTCTGAAGTTCATCAGCATGTTTACTGATACTGAGTATCATTATGAGCCGTAAAACACTGAGACTCAGCTGTTGATGGAAAAGCAAAATAACAGGATGAGAAAATTAACCTCTACGGTGAAAGTGAAGATGTTAGATGAGGTAAATGTAGAGGGCTCTACTCTGGACTGGTTCTGTTACATCACATCAAGATTAATATCTGAATTGATAAATTAATATTATTACAAACTGATGGGGGGCTGTGCAGTGGCGCAGCGGTTAGATCTGTTGCCTTGCAGCGAGAAGGTCCTGAGTTCGATTCCCGGCCTGGGATCTTTCTGCATGGAGTTTGCATGTTCTCCCTGTGCATGCGTGGGTTCTCTCCGGGTACTCCGGCTTCCTCCCACAGTCCAAAAACTTGACTGTTAGGTTGATTGGTCTGTCTAAATTGTCCTTAGGTGTGTGTGTGTGTGTGTGTGTGTGTGTGTGTGTGTGTGTGTGTGTGTGTGTGTGTGTGTGTGTGTGTGTGTGTGTGTGTGTGATTGTCTGTCCTGTGTGTCTCTGTGTTGCCCTGCAATGGACTGGCTCTCTGTCCAGTGTGTACCCCGCCCTTGGTGAGCTTCTGAGATCTGCAATCATCTGCTGCTTCACTCTACTGGAGGATTCAATAAGTGCAAAATGATTTGATTTGACAGACCACAACAGATAAGTGTAAAAGGCAGCAGAGGCTCAGAGAGCTGCAGACGGGAGGGGGAGGAGCATAAATTAGAGCAGGATAAAAGGGGAGAGCGAGCATGCAGTTGGAAAGAGAAATGATTGAGTTTCAAGCATCTTTTACAGAGAGATGAATGAATCCAAAGGGAAACCGAGAGGGAGGAAAAGAAAGATATGAGCGTGAAGCTTAACCCTTCAGACGCGGAGAACAGCTTCAGCGGAGGTAAACTGTAAATGATCTGTATTTGATACAGCGCCTTCTAGAACCCCCCAAGGCGCTTTCCAACACAATCAGCCATTCACACCCTGAGATGGAGTTATAAAGTGAAGGATGCAACAGAAACGAGAAAGGACTGATATTATTATCATTCACTGTGTGTGTGTGTGAGTGTGTGTGTGTGTGTGTGTGTGTGTGTGTGTGTGTGTGTGTGTGTGTGTGTGTGTGTGTGTGTGTACAGTTGGGCAGCATGCCAACCCCACCCTCCAGGGCATCAGCACAGGCACAAGCTGACATTGCACTGACAGCACTAAACCAGGCCACTCTTATGTAAGCAGCTGAGCAGCAGGGAGGCAGAACCAGCATCAGGACCAGAACCATCGGTACCAGAACATTAACAACTTGCTGTTCTACCGAATAAACCTGAAAATGTAAACATGTTGGCTGGGAATAAATAAAAAGGACTTGTACATGTAAGCAATTAGACTTCATCACAATATAGTGACTATATGTCTATCCATCTATCCAGGCCAAGCGTCTGCCAAATAAATAAACATAAACATAACCATGATCGTTAATTTCTCTACCCGTTTGCTTTCCATAGATTAGTTTCTTATACTTCTTTTGGTCTCTTGCTGAAAACTTT